TAGTATATTTTTTCTAAATTAGCATGTGTTTTCATTGATTTACAGTCAGTCAGCTAAAATAAATCTCAATTACAAAATCTAAAACACTTAAACAACTTTAAATATTAAACAAACATAAAATGCTATTTTTCAAAAATAAAAACTCAAACAAACAGCATCAATTAGAAGGCTAAATCAGTGTTTCTGAATTCATTTCATTAATTACAGTTGCTTTTTTAACTTTACATTACAAGAGTGGGAATTTAACACCCAACGCTAAAACTTTCCAGCCCCAATTGGGGGTCAAAACATTTAGCATCAAAAGTTATGCCCTATCAATAAACATCATCAAGCTGCATCTCTTAGAAAGCTGTGGAGCCAAGACCATATAACCTTTTTAGGTGCTCCAAACATAACTGAAACTACAAATAAACAAATCATAACGAATCACTCTTCACGAAGACAAGAATGAAAGAATAATTTTTATTATGTTTTGTAGTTGGTAGAAAGCAGGCAGGCAGTAACTTTCTCCATAAGAACTTTCTTACAGCAGGAGGGACAAGTGCAGCATTCATCTTGTAGCTCTCAGCAGAACTTCCCCTGAATTCTGCACTACACCTCTATGTATATTAGCAGTGCTCTGCTGCCACCTAGTGTTCAGTTCAGTACACAACATTTACTATGTTGCATGCAATATTATTTGCAACAAATTCCGCTATGGTTACCTTTATAATGAGATCAAAGAAATCAAATGTACAATGTGGTTACAGAAGAATACTCAGCGTGGGTATATCTGTGCTTCACTGAATTATTTTTATTCAAATAAAATAGCTTTGGGGCAAATTGTCTTGAATGGTTAAAATGAAATTAATCAAGATTAATTAATCACAAAGCATCTGATTAATTATTTTAATAGAGTCCCACCCTAATTTATACTTTTTCATTACTTGAGTTAGTTTCAAGGCCTCATTGTTTGATTTGGAGCCATGAATTAGAAAATGTCAGCATTTCAAATACAGAAAAGAGGGTATTTATGCTACCACTGATCATGGTAACCATTAAGGAATACATGTCTACCTCATTGACAGCTGAATGTTATTCTTCACCACAGATTTTGCTACTGTTTTGGTTGTTTCTATTTCATAATCTTTTTCTGCAGCTGCACATGTCAAGCACCTCCTGACACTTAGACTGTTTACTAGTAATAATTTTGCCTCTGTGCCATAAGTGATTTCCATTATCTGGTAACCATTAAGCCATGATTGTTTTAAAAGCTCACGCGGCTTTTACCAGAAATCCACAATTTATCTGCAGCACAGGATTGTTCTTGGTTGCCATAACTGATCCATTCAATGGAGGAGGGCATGAGGGGACAACAGGATAATCCTTCAGGATGAATAAAAGCTGCCGGTGCAGCCTTTCACCCCTCTATCTGTCCATCTCTTCACTCGTTTTTGTTTTCTTCTCTCATTTTGGTTTGTGCTATAATGGTACACCTCCTGCTGCTATCATCCCTATTAATTGATTACGATGTGATACAAGTGAGTGTGCATTTTTAGGTTATGGGGACCGTTTTGTCACCTGTTGGTTTACCTTTTACTCATTTTAAAGCACAATTTTCTAGTTTAGCTTCCACCAATTTGAGCTTTAAGAGATAGAAGGTTTCTGATTATGAGTTTAAATGTTAAAATAGAAACACAAAAAGCAAAATGAAGCATGTGGGTTTTTAAGAGTCAAAATTTTAATGTGAGAACTACATGAGTGGGTGTTGTTAATGGGCAACATACCGAGAAACACACTAAACCGTGAGATGCTACTGTGAAAAAAAGTTTCCATTGTTAACAACAAAAATATGTCATAAATCCCAGCAGCCCTCACGTGGCTGAAATGTGGAATTTTCAGGAATGTTTATTTGCAAGGTGAAAATAAAGCGTTTCCAGTTAAGGTGTGAAGCCTCTGGGGTGATTTATAAACTCGTGCGCATTAAGGCGTGCACACTGTTAGGGTAAAAATGCTTCCAGTCTCCAGTTTCACAACCTGCTGGACACATTCTGGATCTGGTCCCTTATTGTAACAGATTATGTTAGATAAAAGCATTTAAATATAAGAATAATGAAAGGGGTAGAGCTTTTGCAGCTGCACACAACAGACTTGTAGTCGTGAGGGCGGGTGTCAAGCTGACACCGATCATGGTGGCGCCTCTCTGGCTCACACCGTCACAGACATAAATGACAGGGTGCTCTCTTTGTTAATGAGTTATAAGTATCGGTCCTGGTCAACAGCCTTTTGTTTTTCATTTCACATTTGATCTTAATATTTTTAAAGAAGAAAAAGAAAAGTCACTCAGTATTTGATGCATTTAGCTTTACTAATTTTTTTTTATTGTAAGAGTGAAATTATAATCTCACCTGAATTATGTACTCTCTATTTTGTAGCCACACTTTTCCTGCTTTACCTTTGCGATAATTCTTCCGTATACTCATGGCTGGGTTTTCACTGGGGATGTTCGATATTATTAGTCTACCATTAATATTGGCCACAATAAAATTTAATATCAGAAAGTATCGGTATTGGTTTTCAGTCTTTGAATGACGCAACTTTTACACACCATACACATATTATACATCAAACTCTTCAGCTACTTCTCCTCACCCTCAGTATGTCAAAATATAACAGTTCAAGTATAAAATAAAACAGTTCAACAGTTCAATCTGAGTTCAATCTTTTGAGATATTTTAGTTCATTTGGCAAAACGTGAATTAGAAATGTGACCTTTTGTAGAAAGCATTTGCTGTCTGCACGTGTAGCTAGCTTACAACAACTAAAACAAACACAATACTCTTCACCCGAGGCTTGCTTTTCTTATCTAAAGATCTTTAAAAATGTTTCATCACTGTAACTGCAATACACAGAAAAAAAAATCTAATAGGGATGTAAGAAAATATCAATTTGGCATTATATTGTGATATTTTTTCCTGCAACATTATATCGATATTCAAAAGCTGCGTATCAGATTTTTGGAAGAATTTACATGCAAACATTTGTGCATTTTTATTTTCTCTTGGTACAATTCAAATGCTGACCGCTAGATTGAAGCAGTGTGCATTGGGTTTAGATTTTTACCAACGAATTATAAGTCCCTCTATTATGGTTCAGATACCTCATGTTAAACATGTTGAGTATCAGTTTGGACACTTTATTAAATTTTCCTACAATAAATTCAGTCTAAAAAAATCACTAATATTGTCTGACTGAATGTGTCGCAATATATCTTGATATACGTATCGTCTCCCCAGAATCGTGATACGTATCGTATCGCTAATATTTCACCAATACACATCCCTACTAGCTAATAAATACATCTTAGCATCACGCTTAGAGAGAATGAGCATCAACTGCTGTTAAATGATGTTGTACTTTATTTAAATTGAAGTTGTTGTTTTGCAAAAATATTTAAAATGTAAGCATGCATGATAGAAGAGATGTGATTTTAGTAACCTAAATGTTTTAGTTTTCTTTTCAGTGGGCTCCCAGCACTTATCAGTATCAGAAAAGAGTCAGACAGTATCGGTATATCGGATATCGGTTTAAAAGCCAATATCGAGCATCCCAGGTTTTCACTTGTTGCCTAGTTTTTTGCCAAGTCATAAATGTGCTTAGTGTTAAATATTTAGAATATTTGTTCTGTTTGTATTTGAAATGTGATGCTAACAGGAGAAGTTGTGGTTAAATGCAGGGCAGCACCTTTAACATGGACTCACTTCTGTCATAAAGCTCCTTTAATGTCTTATTTCGTTTTTGTGATCTGAGTGGAGTATGTACTTAAATTTATTTTAATATACATATATACCACATGCAGCCAAAGAATACAAAGTTTTTATTTGAATGGGTCGATCTTTGAGGGGTGTATCAGCTTTTGAATGCAATATTATTTTTCTTCAAAGATCTTAGTTTTCACAATTTTTCGTGTCTTTGCATGAGTGACTTGAATTACAAATCTTTATTTGTATGGCTTTTGAAAGCAGACCGTGAACCATGGACACCTCCGGATTCACCTGTTTATGTGGTTCAGCTTGGCAGAAATTATCCAAACAGTGATTTAGTTCAGGACCGTACTTGTAAAGCTCGACTTGAGTGTGTGTGTGGTGCAGAATGTTGATCTTAGATCTGTTTAACAGTAAAACGTGTGATTCTCAGAGGCTTTATTTTAACCTTTATTTTTTACAGATGAGTCGATTAAGAACTCATTCTCATTTATGACGATCTGACCAAGAGGCAGCAGCAACAGACTCATAGGTAGCTTTACACCAAAGAAAAACAGGTAGGATAAAAAACAAGATAAAATAATTAGACATAAAGACAATGGACTGTTCTCATTTACAATGTGTACAAGCATTCAAAACAGACTTAAAACAATCTTTAAGCACGCAGAGGTATTCATCAGCAACTATTGATTGCAATGAATTATTGAAGGCAGATAATGAATATAGTGAGCTTTAGTGATTTTTGCAGCTCGTTCCAGTTGTTGGAAGCAGCAAACTGGAATGAGGAGCAGCCAAAGGAGGTACGAGCTTTGGGAATAACCAAAGTGATTAAGTCACTGGAACGTAAATTGCGCTGGTTGTAGGAAGTGATGAGTCATGAGTGAAGATATGACGGTGTTCTACTGATGATTGTGTTGTTTATGAACTGATATGAATGTAACACCCAGCAGGATAGGAGTGATGGCCAGTTAGAAGGCCAGGCTGTAATCCTGGTGGTGGTGGTCTGTTTTTCAGGATGACTACCTAAAAATGGAGCATCTTTTAAACACCTTTTAATCATTTTACAGGTTTATAACTTACAAAAACAAGAAAACCTATTAAAAAACAACTTTACATATTTCCTGGTGACCTGTTATCAGCAACACTTTAAACACAGCTGTGTTTAGTTGTGGGTTTTCATTTAATGATTTAGCTGTTAATGGATTCCCTTTGATAAATCAGAGACCCACTGATGTATTTTCCTTCTCTATCCTGTAGGATCCCAGAACAAAACACAAGTTCAAGATCCACACCTATGGGAGCCCCACCTTCTGTGATCACTGTGGCTCTCTGCTCTATGGTCTCATTCACCAGGGCATGAAGTGTGACTGTGAGTACTACAATTACACTGTAATATCCAAAATGGTCGTTATTAAAGTGATTTTAAGTTACACAGTATCCTGTAACACGTTGAAATATAAAATCTTGTATATCATTTGGAGATGTACCGAGTTTAATAGCATATGTGGGTAGTATTAAATCAGGATCAGCAAAAGAAAAGTAGATGAAATTTTAACTTTTTGCTTTTCTACAGTGCATATTGACTTAGTTTATTCAAAAATACTCGTATAAATTACTTTCCCCTGAGTATTTCAGACACTTTTTCATCATCAGAGGTTTCCTTACAAAGAATCTTCCTGATGCTTTCATCCAACTCAGAACCCCAATGTGCTTTTTGTGTTTTATTGAAATTCCCTCAATCCTCATTGAAACCTTCCTTTATTGGATTTAAGTCGGCCTTAGATCCAACTCACATGACTTGCTTTGTTCTACAAACCACCTGATGTGTGTGTTTTGGCCAAATTAGTTGAACATTTGAAAATCATCAGTTTTATTTATTCTTGTTTTATTTAAACATTAAGAACATTTTCTAAGTCAAATTGCAATCTAAATCTTTAAGTAATTTCTCGGTTTTTGAAAATTTGTGATACATTTGTAAACCTTTGGACAGTCCCATTAACTCATTCGCTACCAGCCGTTTCCTGATTGGTAAAGCCAGTGACGGGCGGTGCATTCCACCCCTGGGCCTTCAGTGATTTCCTATTCAGTCCAATCTAAATTAACACACCTTAAAATACCATCAATAGGACATCACAGCTGGAGAAACCTCTCTCTCACACACACACGCACACACACACGCACACACGCACACACACACACACACACACACACACACACACACACCAGTGGCTGGGTACGACGTCATTTCCGGAACCTTTAAACTCGCATTCCCAATTGAGAGTAGGAAACTAAGTCCACGGATACTGTCAAATCTCAAAAATGAAAGACGGGTTTAAGAGATGAGACAATAAAATAAATAAGTAAAGCAAACACATTATTTGCATTTGTTTTGGAGAAAATTGTACCGCGAAACAATTGAACATGTTGGCGCAGCTGCACACACCACGTCATTCACAATATAAATTGCATAGAAACAGAACATAGAATTATTTCATTTAGCCATTTTATTTCGTTACCATTGATTATTAACAAAATAAAATGACAAAACATTAAAAAATACTAATAAAATGTTTCTACTCACCAACATAAATGTCCAGCATGGATCTCCTCCTCTCCTGCTCATTTGAAAATAAAATCCATCCTTCTTTCTTTCCTCAGGAAAACCTCAATGGCTCTGTACAGTTTACCTGTGCGCTTCAGGTCCATGAGTGGATCCTTTTCTATGGACATGGAGGCTAATGCTGAAAGACGTGTCTGTCGGGTCGTGTTTCTGGCGTACATTTTAATGCGTTTTAATGCTACCAAATTCATCTGATGCCAGCAACAGGCATTCCCAGCAGAATAACCTGCAGCGGTTCTCTGAAGCTGTTAGCCGTGGGTACCGTTCATAGTTGCTTGCCTGAAAATGACGAACAAATCCTTTCTCCTGCTGGGACAAGCCAGCTAGCGTTGGAGTCGGACGACCTGTTCTCACAAGATCCATTTTTTCTTGAAAGGTCCGTCTGGAAAATGGTGTGGCAAGTAAATCTGCATCCAAGTCTGTCTCTTCTCCTCTTTCAGCCATCATGTGTTCAAAAATACACCGATAGCTGCCTATAGATACAAATCTCTGTGTTTAGTTTTGATATTTTGCTTCATGCCGCTAGAAAAGTTCTAACTACTGCTCATCCAATCACAGGATGCGTTCATGTCAACTTTTGCGTGAGGCCAGCTAGCTGGCCTGGGCCAAGCTGACTCGTGAGCTGATTGGCTATCACAACTAGATCGTCTCCATTCACTTACAGCGGACAGTGGGCTTCTCGATTGATTCTGAAGGCCTAGATCAGACTAATCTGCCTGAAAACACAAGCTAGCTTAAATCTGATTGGATAACACCCAGCCTTGGTATTTTAACACTGGAAGCAGCGCAGCCAAGTGGGTATAATAGGATATAAAGAAAATAGACCAGTGAACATTTTTTTTATTTAAAAATATTTACCAAAGGAAAAAAAATACATTTACGTTTTTGAGTACGTTTAGGCCAGCAGAGAAGGCTTTGCTGGCCCTGACTGCCCACCACTGGGTAAAGCCCTTCGCTGCCAGTGTTTCTCACTGTTTTTACTGTTTTTTTTAAGAGTCAGAACGTTGCACGCTAGGATAATGTTGACGCCAAAACAACCAAAACAAACAAAACAAAGCGGAGACTCACCTCTTACAATGAATTTCCCTCTGGGATTAATAAAGTATTTTTGAATTGAATTGAATCTGCGCATTTCGAGTTATCCGTTCTTTCATAATTCGTTGTTGAATTGTGATCGGCAGAAGCTTTTCTGGTTCGCGCCTCACTTTTTTTTACAGCAGCGGCCCAAAACGATCTCCTAACACATGGATTTTCTGCATCCTGATCACGTGACGTGTGATGTATGCGGATGAAGATCGGCTTTAGAGCTGAGATGTTTGTTCTCTCAGCGTCGGAGCTCGTTCCGATGCCCACACAGTAAAAATATGCAAATGACCACTTTAGTCGTCATTGGCAGTGAACGGTTGGATTTAAAATGATGACTTCAAATTCAAATTTATTTGTCACATACACATTCATACACAGTACGAAATGCAGTGAAATGCCTTACACAACTGCTCGTGACCTACAGTAAGAGTTGAAAATAAAAAACTGTACACCACGAATTAAAATGAAGGGAAAATTTAACTGGGAAAGAGTAAGGTAAAATATATCTGAATTAAAGTTGAATAATAGAATAGCTTTACAACAAAATACACAATACAATACAAATTAGAATAAAAGGTAAATGTAGCTGCGAATGAATAAGATAAAATATATATAAGTTGAAGTTGAGAATAAAGTAACTGTACAACAAAATACACAGTATGTAAATGTATAAGAATGTATAAAGAAATAAAAATATCTATACAAAACAGCGGCTGAACAAGTATTAAATGGAAATGATATATATATATATATATATATATATATATATATATATATATATATATACATATATATATATATATATATATATATATATATATATATATATATATATATATATAATGTCCAGAGTTGTGCAAACCACATTTTAGTGACTTTGTAGTGCAACTGTGCTTAAGCAAAGTCCAGACTGTTCGGTGTGTGTGAGAACCATATATGTGTGCACTTACTATGTGGTGGTGTGGTTTAAAGATCGTATCCCCTGCGGGAAGAAACTCCTCCTCAGCCTCTCTGTGTTGGTCTTCAGGGAGCGGAATCGCTTTCCTGACCTCAACAGAGAGAACAGTCTGTTATTTGGACTGTTGAGGTCCTTCACGATCTTCCTGGCCTTGGTCCAGCACCGCCTGCTGTAGATCGAGTGCAGGTCAGGGAGCTCGGAGCGGATGGTGCGCTCAGCTGATCGAATAACCCTCTGTAGAGCTCGTCTGTCCTGCATGGTGCTGTTCCTGAACCAGGTTATGATGTTCCCCGTCAGGATGCTCTCTATGGTGCACGAGTAGAAGTTCCTGAGCCCCCTGGGGGGCAGTCGGAAGTCTCTCAAGCGTCTGAGGTAGTAGAGACGCTGCCGGGCCTTTTTCACCATGGTGTTGATGTGACAGGACCATGACAGGTCCTGCGTGATGTGAACACCGAGGTATTTGAAGCTGCTCACTCTCTCCACTGGGCACTCGTTGATGACGGGGATCTGGTAGTTCCTCTCCTGCTTTGAACTGAAGTCCACTTTCAACTGCTTCGTTTTACTGACGTTTATTAGGAGGTTGTTCCTCTTGCAGCAGGTCTCCAGATTCCTGACCTCCTTTAAGTAGGCCGCCTCGTTGTTGTCAGAGATCAGGCCCACCACGACGGTATCATCAGCAAACTTAATGATGGTGGTGGAGCTGGTACTGGCCACACAGTCGTATGTGTACAAAGAATACAGCAGGGGGCTTAGAACACACCCCTGGGGGGCTCCAGTGCTGAGAGTGGTGGGGGCTGAGACATGTCCGCCCATCCTTACTGCCTGTGGTCTGCCAGTTAAGATGTTGGACATCCACTGGCACATAGATGAGCTCAGTCCCAGGTGCTCCAGTTTGGTGGTGAGTGTGGAGGGAATTATGGTGTTAAATGTAGAGCTGTAGTCGATGAAGAGCATTTTAACATAATTCCCCCTTCTAGTGTCCAAGTGAGTGAGTGATGTGTGGAGGAGATGACAGATGGCATCGTCTGTAGAACGATTTGGATGGTAAGCGAACTGTAGTGGGTCCAGTGTGTCTGGTAATGAAGAAATGATGAAGTCTCTGACCAGGCGTTCAAAGCACTTCATCACTTCTGAGTTGAGGGCTACGGGGCGATAGTCATTGAGAGAAGCAGGGTGGGGTTTCTTCGGGACATGAACAATGATGGACTTCTTGAAGCATGTGGGGATCACCGACTGAGATAAAGAGATGTTGAATATCTCAGTGAACACAGGAGCTAGCTGGTATGCTCAGTCTCTGCGGATACGACCTGGGATGCCGTCTGGTCCTGCTGCTTCCCTGGTGTTCACTCTCTTGAAGGCTCTCCTCACGTCATGCTCGGAGATGACGAGCATGTTTCCGGTGCTGGCAGTATCTTCCTGTCTGCAGCCGTTAGCGCCGCTAGCGCTGGCGTCGTTGGAGTCCTTAGCTGCAGCCTCGAAGCGAGCATGGAAAGTGTTCAGCTCGTCTGCCAGAGTCGCGTCCGCGTTCATCATACCGGTTGTTGGTGCTTTATAATCTGTTATTGTCCTCAGTCCCCGCCACAGGCTCCTAGAATCACTCTGTTGGAGTTGTGACTCTAGTTTCCTCCAGTAGCGCTGCTTGGCCTCTTTTACTGCCTTCCGCACGTGATATGACGCGACTTTGTACGGGTTCATGTCCCACGTC